GGCAGCACTCAGCTTCACTGACAAAGATGTGACTTGTTTGGGAGAGCCAGTAACACATTGGTGGAAAATGACGGAATTAGGCGACTTTTTACCCGTCTGAGGGATCCCCAGTGATACTATTTCATTAATGGAAGAACAGAAGGTGATTAAAACAAGAGAGCTAGTTTAGTCTTTAAAACAGACATGGCTATGGCGTGATGCTGACATGTTTGTTAGCTGTCAGAATTCTGAGATTAAAGTCAGAATTCTGAGATTAAAGTCAGAATTCAGAGATTAAAGTCAAAATTCTGAGAAAAAAGTCAGAATTTTGAGATTTTAGGTCAGAATTGTGAGGAAAAAAAGTCACAATTGTGAGGAAAAAAGTCAGATTTATGAAGAAAAAAAGTCAGAATTCTCATATTATACTGAAAATAAAATTTAAAAATCAGTTAACTTTTTTAATTTTTTCTGTGGCTCTAATCCTCTTCTGTACTTTTAAAGTGCCAATGTTCTTGTTAATTTATGTCGCTTTAGATTATTTCCTGTTTTTGTGAAAGCTTTCTAGCCATGTCCCTGTCTGGGCTAGGAAAAAAGTGCTAACTTATCAAATAAGTAGATTTATGACACGTAAACAATGGGGTTGGCACAGTACTAAGAAATTAAACAAAATTCTTATACCGCATATAATGATTTATACCAACTTTGATGTATTTTTTTTTAAGCTAAGAACAATAAATTTAATAGCAATAGGACAAATGTCAAACTTTCCCAGTTTAAACAAGGAAACTTATTTAATTCGGAATAGTTAATTTTTTATTCATTTTTCTTTTATTAACAACAATGGAAGGCTAAAACAATGGCAAACTAGTTGACTGATTAAAATACAAATTTCATGTAAGATGATGTTGTTTTGTTAGAACAAAACTAACACTTTCCCCCCAAATAAGAGTGCGAAGGGGATAAATGAGTAATCGTTGATAAAACAGGTTAGTTCCTTTGAGGATTTCCACAGGTATTTAAACAGAAACCGTCAGTAGGTGTTGAAACAATCAAACAGTTGGAGCAGAAATTGCACCCTCGGTTTCCGTTGTTTTAATATAAATCTTTTGAAGTAAAAAAAAGAATGTGTTTCCCATCTGTAATTTGTCTTCAATCAATAGTTTAAGGCTAGAATCCTGCTGCATATTTTTGCTTTAGCGTGCCATACCTGTGAGTAGCTTAAAATGTCTTTCATCTAGAAAGTAATATTATTAAGGAAAACTGCTCCTGAGAAAAATACATGCAGTTCTCATTCTTTCTGGTCTGCCTGGGGTCTCTTTTTCTCTCCATATGGACGATAGTTTTAAATGTGCTGCAGTGGTCTTCAGCGGAATGCCAAGAATGTGAAACCTCAGAGAGCCTTTCCTGATCATAAAGCCCTTCAAAGTGGTATACACATCATTTACAATGACCCAAATTTCTGCTCTTGCAGACCAGTGAATTGACGTCTTGATTTATGTTGCTGCTTGTGTCGCAAGCTTTGCAGATTGGGATTTAGTTGTGGCCAAATGTGATTTCAGATGTCTGTGTAAAACTGGACTGGAATGAAATGTTAAGAATAAATACACAGTCTGTGTGGTGGTCTTTAATTGCATTGTGTGGGGTTTTTCCCTTTGTCTGAAAGAACAGTTTGTCTGGACAAAAGTAATTAAAGGATTATGGTTTATGCTGCTCGGTGATTGTTATTTCCCCCCAACGTTATTTGGTTTTGCCCTCAGGTTTGATCATTGTATTAAACAAATTCAGCTTTTTTAGTGATGAATGTGAAACATTGCTTATGCTGGTGGTCCTGCTTGCATTCTAGCCTTTAGTTGATACCTTGTAAAGGAAGTTTGAGCCAGTTTTTTGACAGTAAAAGGGTAGCTTTTATATCAATCATGAAGTGCCAGTAAGAAAAAGATAATACTGAATGTCCTGCACAAGTTATTGGGCCCATTTAATATTATAATTCCCAATTAACAGAGTAAATTAAAACTATAATCTGAAGAAAAAAAAAAAGGTATGTTGCTTTGACACACTGTAAGACTTATTACCAGTAGTTGTCAAAAATGTTAAAGGCAACTGTGATATATCTCTGTGCTCAGTGTAATTGCCAAATGCTAACGTTGTTGTTTTTTTAAATCTAAAAATAAATAAATAAATTAATAAAAAAGAAAAAAAATATATATATAATTGACAATAAGTCGATTATTTGTTTGGATCACTATTTTTTCAAACTCAAAGAAGAAAGCCATGGGTCTTTTAAAAAAGAACGACGTGAGAAGTAAAATAAATGAAAACATCTCTCGCTTCTTAAAAACTCGCACTTCTTGGCAACACTGAGCAGTAAGGATATCCGTGCGATCCATTCTCCCCGTTAGACTCCTGTTGGCAAAGCGTAAGCAGGGACTGACTGGAAGACTCATCTCGGCATTCTTCCTGCTCCCTGAGCGTGTTCCACTCTAGGAGGCAAGGAAATCAACATGTACATTTTTCATCCGCTGTCAAAGTCGTCCTATGTCTATGTTCCTCCTATTATTATATGGATACAAACTGATCCGTGAGTTTGAGCGCTGAAGGGGGCAAAGGTCAGGAAGTTGGAGATTAAAATGAAAGCGCTTCCTTTGGTACAGCTGCCTCATTCTCAGTGGGGCAGCGAAAGCATCAGAAATGACCACTGCCTCAGTAGTTGTCCGCTCGTCGGAAACTCATCAGCATGCGGCTGTTTTTCTAGGTTGTTCTAGGCTCCAAATAGACAGCAAATACAGTGTTGTTACTCAAATGCAAAGTTTATGTTCCACAGGATGTAATGTTAGCATGCTGTGCTGAGCCATCTCAAAACACAGTTTGCTTCTGAAACGATCATAGATAAATTACACAAAAAGACGGTCATGGAGCCAACAAGCATAGAGGATGCTGGTTGAGTAATATAGAGAGTAGGAACAACTTCTTTAGCTCTTATTTAAAGGATTTTTGGATGCTATTGTTGTGAATTCTCCTGAAAAATAGTCAAAGCAGAAACTGGTATGCTATTTTAATTTGAACTATTGTTTTCAAGCATAGCGTTTAACTATAAGAGGCTTCTTGGATTGCTCCCTTAAATAACGAGTTGTGTGCACAGGTTTGAATTAATTTTCAGCTTTTTAACAGTCAACAGCAAATGTAAATAATACTAAAAGGCTCAAATGTAAATACAATTAATCCACCAAATGTCTGGTTAAATGCTCCTCAATAAGATGAAACATAATCACATGCGTTTGTAGCCAGCAATAGACCTCTGTCACATTTGTTGCTAATTATTTCCCACCACTTTTCATAAAAAAACTGGTAAAGTTTGTATTTTGTTAAATTGTTGACACCGAGTCAACTGTTAATCATTATTCACAATTTTTTTTTTGTGGTTAATGTCAAACTTTTGGTAAAAGTCTAACCTAATGTTAGACTGCTTTATTTATTCCCTTGATAAATGCACATGTCCAACTAATGTGCTAATATAACCCACCTCCTTCATTGGTCTATGCTGTTTGTGGGATTGGGTGCTACCAATACCAGCAAACGGCATGATGCTACCACCACCATGCACAACAGTTGGTTATGGCGTATACAAGGGATTGCTAGCTGGTGCTAAACTAAGCCATTTCGTTAAATTGTTAAGGATATATGTAACAAGAATGGAACCACAGAGGTTAAGAACCAGTAGACATGTTTAGATTTCATACAAAAGTAGACACAATGTCTTATTGTTATTTACAGAATACCTTTTAATATTGCTTTGCTGTCCAGCAGCTAGCTTTTCTCAACAATTGGATTTTAAATTCAGATTTTATAATTCAGATCCCCTCTGTACAAGTTCCAACTCACCATGTGCATCTAGTGTCGTGCAAGAGAATCTGGAAT